GGGGCGGCCGGCCCGGCCCGCCACCCAGACTCGCGCGGGTGCAGCCACGCCAAGCCAGACTGCAGACCCAAGGCTCGGGCGCGCGAGGGTGGTCACGAGCCGCCCTGCAGAATCAACGCCTTGGAAGAGCTGAGCGTGACAGATACACAGACACATGGGCTGGGGGGTGCCCTGACCCCACAAGTGTCCGCAGAGTAAGTCCTTGCACAAAGTCCACCTTTACCGGGCAGGTTGAGAGGGTTGCCTGCAACCCGCCTGGGCCGGCGCGGAGGCCACCAGGGCTCGGGAGCGCGGTTCGGTTCGGCGTTCCCGCTGAGGGCCGTGGCGGCCTGGCTCGGACACTCCCCTCCGCGCGCGACGGCAGGAGCCCAGGAGCGGCCCAGGAGCGACCCCAGAGCCCGCCCACGGAAATGGGAAGCTGGGTGGCCCCTTTCGTGGGGCCAGCAGGGAGTGTGGCAAGGGCCACAGGCAGGGCTGCAGGCCCCGCGCGGAGGGCGGCGCCGGGCGCAGAACACGAGTGATCAGCCCCGGGGTGGCAGCAGCAGGCAGGGGGGCCTGTCTGGGGGTGCAGAGCCTGGAGGGGCACAGGGTGGGTGCTGGAGATCTGGCTGGAGCTGATGTGGGTGAAGACACGGGCGCAGCAGTAGAATGGGCCTTGCCCTCGAGCGATGCCCGGAGCGTGCACGGGGGGGCTGCCCCTCAGAGCCACCGTGTAACAGTCGGTGATGGCTCCGATGGACTTTTCATCAGGAAACGCACTCAGGCGAGCCGGAGACGGGCCCAGCGGCCCGTGCTGGAGCCGCACAGGCGCCAGGCGCCAACCTCTCAGAGAAGGACGCCTCCGAGTCGTAGGGGCCCCACGCGGACAGCGCACAGCCTCAGCACCGTGCTGGGAACCCCTCGGCCACCGAGGCGCTCCGGGCCCCCCTCCAGCTCCTCTGTTGCACCCCTGCATGCATGAGTGTGGGGGAGCAGTGCCAGAGCAAGGCCGTGCTGGCGCACAGCAGACACCCGGCGGGCCGGCTGGCCAAGGCCCTCCGCCATGGGCCCAGGGACAGAGGAGTCCAGTCTAAGCCAGTGCTAGGGGCTCTCATCCAGCCTCCAACAGCACCCCAGGGGCGGCTCCCCCACTGGGAGAGGGTGAAGGAAGCTGAGCGACACGGTGCACGCGGCGAAGGACAAGGGGCCGAAGCCCCATCCCACACGCGGCGTCCCCCGGGGACGCAGGCCTCAAGCCCCCCAAAGCCCGGGGCCCCGCTCACCTCACTGTTGTGGCCCCGCAGGTTGAAGTTGATCCTCTGCGGGGTGCTGCGGTCCCGGCGGCAGTGGCTGGAGGTGAAGGTCACGCCCACGACGCCCCGGCCGTTGCCCGTGGCCAGCCAGCCCTCCTCGTAGTAGCGCCTCCGGCACACCGGCTTCTCCTTCTCGCTCTTGGGCACGCGCCCCTTCCAGGACAGGCACAGGATGTTGGAGTCGCTGCACAGCACCGGCCCCGGCTCCACCGCCGCGAACATGCTGCTGGCCGCCGGCCCGGGCGCCGGCAGGCCACGCTGCGGGCCGAGCCCCACGCCGACTGCTTCCCCGGGCGGCAGGCGTGGCTCTGGGGCTGGCCCGCGCTGCTTCCCTGACCGCCGAGACGAGGACTGACCTGAAGTCGATCAGAAGGTCAGTGTTCACAAAGACCCACCAAGTGCATAGTGAAAAAATTCCTCTAGAAAAGATGATGGCAGTCTAAGAAAAGGCAATGCTTAAAAAAAAGCGGGGTCCGTGTTTAGTTCCGAGCCCTCAAGGGAGGGCGGCCGGCCCTCCGGAGGGCGTCGCTGGGAGTGGCCACCGACACCGAGTGTCCCTTCTCCTCGACTCGGGTGTTCTCTTTCAGCCTGAGATTCCAGTTCAGTACGACGGGGTTCCAGAGGCAGAGGGCTGCAAATACACAGATTTCAAGTAATTTAAGGCTTTGAGAATCCCTCAGGCTGGCAGTTCCCCTTCACGAGTCCAGACGCCGCCCGGCGCGCACAGCGCCCGCCCCCCGAGGCCGCCCTCTGGCAGGGCTTCGCAGCTAGGCGAGTTTCTGCTGCCAAAGCTGAAGAAGATTGCATAAGGGAAGAAAGGCACACAAACCGTGCAGACAGGCCGGAGTTTGTGCAGACAGCAGCCGAATTTTAGGAAGGAAAAAAAAAAGAAAGAAAAAGACTTTGCCTACCGCTCAGGACCGGCAGCTCCCCGCCTCAGAGCCCCGGGGACAGCAGGGCCTCACGCCCGCCCCGCACAGCCCCGAGCGCCCCCAGTGCCAAGGGCGGGGCGCCCTTCGCGGCCCAGAGCCGGAGCGCTGAGCGGCCACGAGCTGGCCTCCGGGAAGCCCGGCCTCCCCCGCCCGCCCACCAGCCCTGGGCCAGGGTCCCCTCTGCTCCTAAAGGCCGCGCTCTTCCATCTCGAGGGGAAGCAGTGATGTCTGAACTAGGTCCATCAAGTCCTCCTCTCACGGGCAAGTCTTTTCGGCCTCAACCGGGAAGAGAATCCATTAAAACGAGAACACAGGTGAGAGCTGGCCCTGCCCCGGATGCCCCCGACGGAGTCCGTGGGCCCTGGCCGGGCCGTGCTCCTGGCCGCGTGTGGGGACGCTGTCCGGGCGCCCCATGGAAAGGCCGAGGCAAAGAAGCTCCGCCGGGCCCCTGACGTGGGCCTGGGCGCTGCCCCAAGGGACTGGCTGGGGTGGCGGGGGAGGGGGGTAAACCGGAATTCCTCAAATACAGTTAACCACAAGAAGGCAAAGGCATCAGGTCTTCACCCACACGTGTCCCATCACACCTGAACTCGCTCCCTCCAGCCGGAACCCAGGCGGCAGGTGACGTTTCAGTCCAGAACTTGTAAACTGACCAAATCACCACCCCCACCCCCTGCAGAATAAAGTGCAAGCTGGCTGCGGCCCCGCGGCTCCCCGCCACGTGCTCACTGGGCGCCCCGCTCCAAATGGGAGAGGTGTTGTGGAAGCTTGATCTGTGCCAGTTTTTTTTTTCTTCTTTTTACAAACCTTCTTCACCCGGGACGCCCATACGGGGAGCTGGTGCTTACTGCCGCGATTCCCTGCCCTGGCGCCTGGGCCCAGAGCCGTCGCGCCGCCCCATCTGGCTCGTAAGTTAACTTTCATCAGTTGTGAAGCTCCCCGGGGTGCGCGACAAGGAGCTGGCCTTCGGTGTCGCGCGTCTAGGACAGGGCTCCGAGGTGTGCGTGGGCACCGGCAGCTGGCAGGCGCGGCTGCTGCCCCGCAGGCATCCCAGGGACCACCGACGGGTCAGCGCCAAGGTCCCGGGTCTCACAGATCTGTAAAAGGAAGACAGGGCACTCAGACACACTCTCGAGGACCGAGCACGGGGTACCGCAGGCTGACCGCTGCCAGTGGGGGGGGACCCACTGAGACTGACGCCCGTGGAAGCCGCACCCCGGGGCCGCACCACCCGCTCACACAACGCGCCCGCTAGCGGCCGCCAGATGAACCGGGACACCGCCCCCGCCCCCGACCGCACCGCCTTCCTCGGGCCCTGAGCCCCGCCTGGGAAAGGCCTTCCCCCTGGGCTGAGCAGGGACCCCCAAAAGGGAGGCAGAGGAGGCCTGGGCAAGCTGGCGGCACTGAGGCCTGCG